AAGTGTCTGTACAGTGGAGCCACTATGTCTCTCTGTGATCTGGCCCTGTGCAGCTTTACAAGACAGATAGTTTGGGAATCATGTTTGTGCTTTTAGCAAACTTAGAGACAGACTAAACGTCTTTCATCAGATATCGTCTATAAAAGTAAAAACACAAAGCACATCTGGTTTACCGGCTCAGTGGTTTGGTGAGATGTAGAGGAATTCAGAGCATGTGGATATTTGGTTTAGTTGAGCATTTATGGGGCAGGACACCTGGCTGAACACGAAGACTCTTTTCTAAGAAAACAATGAGTCTAGCAATCCTCCATGTCTACTTTAATTGTCTTCAAACTCACATGGTGGTAAATATTTACAAAAAGCGAGTGAATCTCAGACAAGACAGAGCCTCCTGCTGTGATTAAAAGGTAAAGCTGATGATATCCAAAATTGTAAAATAATATAATTAGTACTTACCCGAACTATGGTCGCACAGATAATACTTGACACTGTCAATAGGAGAAACATAGATCATAAAATCTGTCAGAATGGAAATAAATGGCATCAAAACTGAAAACAGCAAAATGACATGAATATGCAGTAAAGCCAGACCTCCTTTTGTGAAGCTAGTGTTTGCTAAAGTTTAAGTCTTGACTCACATCAGCTCTTGAGAAAAACAGCAATTTTCTGGCTTCTGCACCTTGACTACTTTGTATAATTCATGCAGTGTGTGCTGTGCACCAACTGAAGCGTGTTAAATGATGCCAAACTTTGTGATGCAATTACTGTGTGTTTCTACAAGGATGGCGAGAGTCTTTCAACCCGAGTCGTTTGCCAACAAAATGTAACTATGAGACAAAAAACGTTGCTACACAAACTAGCTATTGGGTGTTTTCCTTTCTTTCTTTTTTATATGAGGATAGTCTTGAAACAGTTGCACAAAAGCAGGCTGAAATCCTTGTTTAAAGCAAGAGAGAGACGCTCAATAGAGCTTAATTTCTGGAGCTTCAGGTGTTCCCATTGGAAATTGACCTGATCTACGACTAAGATGTGCACTGGCTTGGTTAAGGCACAGTTCTGGCATAGAGTAGCAAATGTATGCACACATGAAATAACTGGATGGAGCTTTGACTTTTCAATCACTGACTGCAGTGCTGCACACTTTCCAGATCTTCATAAATGATCTGCAGGAGATTATTGAAATGTAATGCAACAATACTCTGAGGCATCCACCAGCAGCTCTTAACAGTCCTACGGGGGTTTGGAGAAGTCCAGATTTCCACTGCGCCAAACAAAAAAAACATGCTCAGATGCTTTAAATACAGCACATGTGAGCAAACATCTTCTCTAATGACACTGAGCAGGAGCAGACTGAGAGACCCAGATAACTGTCACCTCAGTACTTTCAGTCTCCATTATAAGACTTGTACCTGACTTTACAGTGATTCATCCCTCCAAGGTCCAACATCATAGTTTTGCTCAGGAATGATATTTACAGCTGAAGTTCAAGTGTACAGCACAGAGTGCTTTAAGCTCACCTTTAATGGAAAAGGCTTATGGCCAGCCAATGTACTGTTTCTTTATGTGGTATGAAAGATTTGAAGGCCCCTGATTAAAACCTTATCTCCTGGGGGGATGCCCTTGGACCTTCCTACAGGGGTTCACTTACATAAGTGTTGCTGTTTTTATCCTGATTGAGTTTCAGGCCTGAACTGTTTACCAGATAATGTATCAGCAAAGCACTTAGGTGATGATGTTGTACAAAATTCTGAATTAACAGTGTAGCTACATGGAGTGCATTTCACTGCAAATCAGCTTCCCTTTGTGGATTATACAGTTAAAGGACCTCTTGACCAGCTTCAGGAGCCTAAAGTAGCAGGCTTAACTCTGACTCATGGGACAGAACTTTACAAGCAGATATGCCAATCAGGAAGTGTTCATGTTGATATCTTGAGTTAAAACGAGAACTGTCAATAATTTATCCAGCAGCAAGGCCCAGCCCTTTCCCCTTTCCTGTTTTGTCTTCCCTTTTACATCAGCATGCACCTGTCCCATAGTTCTTAACTAAATGCATTCAAAAAGTTGGATATGGCACTGCTGCTCAGCCAGAAGCTCGTATCTTTTTCTTTTAATTCATGCACCAGTAGAATATTATTATTTGAAGTGAGCAGGTGCTATCTTTCGTGCGTCTTTCTAGTTGTTGTAATTCATCTGTGGTCCTGCAACATTCCGCTTTAAGGTTTTCACGAGATCTTTCAAAACCACTGAGACACGTGTGTAATACTCAGCAGAAACAACCTTTTTATACACCTGTTTTTAGTGCATAAACCTAACTTTGAATCAGCCATCCACATCTTCTGAAGTGTTGATATGAGTATGGTCTGTTAAACCCTCAGATCCTTGGAGTCTGAGAGACGTCTGTCCAACAATGCATTAAGCTTACTGGGCAGGCGCTGGCCAAGCCGGGTGTGTTATTACAGTACAGCCAGGACAACGAGGCTTGAATCAGCAGAATACCAAAGTGAATGAATGAATGTGTTTTCATCTTCGGTCATGCTTCAGTTGGGGAAGAGCTTAGGTATCAAGACTGTCTCGTGTGATGGAAGACTGCGTGGCGCAGCAGAAATCTGATGTAACAGATACTGCTGGAGCAATAGGAGACTCTCAAGAGCCGTCCACCCAAAGATGGAGGATAGCAAAGTAATATCTCCTCAGTGACTTCATGTAGAATATCTGTGGAACACCTGAAAACCTTCAATCACGAGTCAGCACATGGTTTCATTGTTTTATATATATATATATACTTTATTTTATACAGCTAGATGAATGTATACATAGTATACAATACAAAAGACAAATGATAAAAAATAACATCTGTACATGATGTAAAAGAAAAAAAAACTCTACATTACCACCTTTTAGATGGTGTAACTGGTCCCTCTGAACCGTAAGACAAAGTGAAATGAATGTTCTGTTAAAGGACATGCTGGGGCTGAGTCTATCGAGGACAATGCAACTTTTGGATGCTAATGTTCTGTGATGTTTGACAGATTTATCTGATTGTTGAAATTGCGTAACTCTGAGTCCAGACAAATGCTCCGAGACTTCAAACCTCAGAGTGTGACAACAAAACTGGACTTTCCTACCAAATATTTTACAACTGTGGGTCAGGTTTGTGTCAAACTACACCTACTAAAGCTGAGTGGAACATCAGGATGGAATGTACACCTATAGTCATTTGGTGATACATATTTTAGGGTGGACTTTCCCTTTCATTTCACCATGGATGAAAAAAACAAAACAAATTTTGGCTGACATTATAACGATAGGCTGACGTGATGCATGAGCTCGACAAAAAAAAACCACAATGTAAGCATTATGTGTTCTCATTAAGGGCTAGAGGTGGTGGAGCAGCCATGCAGGCGGACAGAAGCATGACGGATGAGGAAATGCCACTAGTCAACAAGCATTTTACCCAGAGCAACACAGCTAATCTGAACTGTTTTTAGACTACTGAAGGCCAACTGAAATCATTTCTTTCAAAAAACACATCTTTGGAGTACAATGCACCCCTGTATTCACGGGGCTTTGAGGAGGGTACTGTACAGAACTTTTGCAGACTCCAGACCCAGAGCAGTGTTTGTCACATATCAGTCTAATCACGGCCTCATTGCACTAACTGCCAATATCTTCGAGGAACTAATTTTAAAGTACTATTAATAACAATACATATGAGGCCTTGTGTGGTGCAGAGCATGAGTAGAAACAAGCATCTAACACCTCACTCGAAGAAATGACGGGTCATCAAACCTTTGTTGTTCTGCTCAGCTAAAGCAGTTTTCTTTATGGCTTCTCAATAACCCATAAATTTCCTTATTATTATTATTTTTTTTTACATTTTTGGGATGGCCTTCTATACAAGTTATTTTTGCTACTTGAAAATGTTTTCATCCTTTCAATTCTATCCTGTGCTTTTCTGTATCTTCATATTTTTCTATTTCCACTGTTACTATATAGTGTAGTCGCTTTGTCTGGTTTTTACCTCTCCAGCTGTTTTAATGTCCTGCCTTTGGTTTTTATCTCCCTAACTCTGGTCAGAGATATATCCACTTCAGCATATGGATATTCAGTAGAGTGGCAGTATATGCTGCAGGGATGAGCTGTGTTTCCATCACAGCAACTTTCCTGGAGACTGAAGGCCAGTTATGGTTTCCACATCCATATGTCCACAAGGGTCTGCAGAGGTCTGCGTGTTGTGAATTGCGTCATCTTCCAGTGACCAGACGGCTCTGCGGATGTTTGTGTGAAGGCCAAAATTTAAATATGCGTATCGTCTGCACAGCAGGACACTCCTTTCTTACACCATACATATGGCATGATGTACTATATTCCACATTCGTGTTAAGTGATTGCACACACAGTTTTCTCTTTTTGGCTTTGTCCTCTGAGCATAAGCAAAGTAGTTTATCTTCCTGTCAGGAGGTTGCCATCATATTTTGGAATGCATACATGCCAATATTCCCAATTCAAGCGTGTATGTATAGAAACACTGTCCAGGTTTGAGGCCGCAAATGTCTGTGGACATGGGCATGGAAACCATAAACGGGCCTGTAGAATCTTCTACGGAACCAGGAACTAAATAAAGTTTCAAGAAGACCTTCCAAAAGGAGAGGAACTGTTGGGGAACGGCTTGAGACCTAAATGTTTCAGTTCGACATCACTTTATTTATTCGTCTTAGGGCAATGGTATCCAGGAGTTCGGAACCCATTATGTTTTGTCAAAACAAAATGGAGCTACAGAAGAATTCCCACAGTAGAGGATCCAACTATCAAGCCCAGACTCAGGCCACATCTCCAGAGATGACAGTGAAATTTAAGGCTGCGATCCACATTGACGGTTTACTTTAAAATTTAGTTGAGGCCGTCAGCATTTCGTATCGACGCGTACAATAACAACGTATAACAGGTGATACTTTTTGATTCTCGCTGACAAACTTGTCTAATCTAAAGAGCTTTGGACTGCAGGGAAATGCAGATAGCACAGAGCTGAAGGAACTTTTTTAATTTCAACAAGTATACCAACCAGTACCTATAGTAGTATAAATAAAACCATAGTGGCGTTCGCTGCGCCTTCAGTCCTTCAAGGTCCAAAATTGGTTGTGCGAATACCATGAATTGATCTGAATTATTTCATCTGTTTACATCCTGATTTTTAGCCTCCTGAGGTAAGGGTTTGTCAGTGAAAACAAAAATGAACTATGAGGGTACTTTGCGCAAGCTGTGCTTCTGTCCGGCTCATGCACTGAGGGGTCTCTCACTGTACTAAGGCTTTGTGTAAGGTTTAAAACTCTTTGGCAACATAGAACAAACAGCTGAGCGTTGGTTGGTTTACTTTACATCGAACAGACACAAACACATTACGACTGCACCGTACAACCAGACTACATTCACTGTATAGAATATGCTAGCAGCTTAGCTTGAACTAAACTAATTTTCCTAATATTAAAAATATTCGTAAGTTTTTGGTCATTGTTTCAGGAATGCTTTGATTTTATTCTAATCTGTAAGGATTGTATCATGTGCAGAGGATATATTGTTGATTGAGGGAGATGTAAAGCTGATCTGACTGGTTTGGTCATTGAGTACTAATATCACAGAAGCAAGAACAATGGATAAAAGAAAAGACATGTAGAAACTGCATGGACCAGTCTGGCCTTGAATGTGACAGATACAGTACTGTGTTTTCACATTTTGATCAGTTTGTCAGTGACATGAGAAGAATGTCAGTTCACAGGTGAGGCATCAGCACAGCGCAAGTGTTGAGGTTGAATCTCACAAACGTTCATGTCCTTGCCTTGAAATTTCATCCTTTGTGGTTATACATAAACATTATGTATGTGTGATCACTGTCTCTGCATCCTTCTCCTCTCTTACTCTGTAGCTCCTGTCAGATGTGTATCCCTTTTCATTCTGAAGGCAAATTAAATGTTTGGTCATAACTGGATGAGCACTAGGACGAGATAACTAGGCAGCTTAACAGAACCATAGGGGTCTCATACATTATACATAACATCCTGTACTGTCTAGTCTTGTGTGTTGCATGCCAAATCTTGCGTGTGCGTGTTTGTGTGGGTGTTTCCGTAACAGTCTTGACATGTCTGAATAAAGCTGTAAGAAACATTTTTTGAAGGCCATCACTTTAACAGCCAGACGAAGCAGCTATGTTGCGTCTTTCATGTCTGAAAAGGGCCACTGTATAACACAGGCATCGTCATCAGTCCTGGTAGAGGTAGACAAGTCAAACCTGCCACAGATGGTTTGACAGTTCACAAGAAGACAGTTTTCCTTCTTTTGTTTTGTGTAAGCAGATATCTGTCTTTTCAGACAATGGAGGAAGACCCTCTCTGTCTCCTTTCTGCAGTGTCACAGACACCCCTTCAGACCCAGTCAGGCTGTGTGAGAGTGTTTGCACCCAACACAGTCGTGGTATCATTAAGGTTTGTGTCAAATGTTCACTTTGACTCCCAAAGTTAAGTCCACCGTCTGTGTCTTTTCCTGCTCTAACATGGCTTCAGGTTGCACAGGTCCAGCTCCTGAGGCTTCCTCCTTCCAGAGCAGTGGTCTCTGGGCAGATTCAGACCATTTTCAGTCATACAGCGCACCGGCCGCCTTTTAAAGCCCCTTCCACAGGACTTGGAGCAGTGAGACCAGGTCCCGACATCCCACATGGGACAGGGATCCCCACATGCTCTCACTGCTACAGGCCTGTCAGCACTGTCACAGTCTGCTGCAGGACGTCCCTCCATGCTCTGGCACTGTACCAGCCTCTTCTGCAGACCATTCCCACAAGTCACTGTGCATGAATCCCATCCTCCTGTCACCCAGTGACTGACAGGCCTCTTACCCATTGCCTGCTTCTTAGCTTCGATCTTGTTGCTATCAGCCAAGACACTGTTCTGTGCTTTGTTGCTTTTCTCTTCTTTCCGCAGAGTCTTTTCTTCCTTGCTCTCCTTAGAGATGTAGAAGGAGTAGCGTACTCTGGGAGGGGTCATCTTCCCAACAGACAGCACCTCTACGGTCAGAGGCTCCTGGAGGGGTCTGGTGGCCTGAAGGATCTCCACAGATGTGGAAGTACCGCTGTACCGCAGCAGACTGCCCTTCACCAGCAGGTCACGCTCCACAGCTGACACCACGTAGTTCCCATTCAGGAGGTACTTGCCATGACGATTCTTCACGGCTAAGTAGTTTTCATCACTGACCATTCCTCGGTAGCCACGCTGACGGATGTCAACGTTGGAAGCTCCGACAGGTAGCATCACCACAAAGTTGTAGCCATGACTAAAGAGGAAGAGCGGAGATGTCAAATATTAATGATGCTATCGAATCATTTTTTGTACAACAGACTTTAAATGTGCTGTAGTAGCATTACTGAAACACAATTAATACAAAGAAATCTAGAGAGTCTCACAAATGGTGCTTGTAATGATGGAAATTAAGCTCATGCTTCCCATAAATCCAAATACCTGAGATATAACAAGAACATTTGTGATGCAAGTACAGAAATTGGTTCAGCCTACATTTGCATACTATAAAGACATAAACTGTGTTGTATCTTGTCAGTTCGCAAGTTAACAACCAACACATCATGAGCCAAGTGCTTACTAAAACCACAGTGTTTTGTTTGCTTCCACCTGCCTTGGTTCCAGTATTTGATAAAAGATTGGTTGGATACATCTTGGACTCAAATCATTCATCATCAATGCAAGAGGCGGGTCGGCTTAAATTTTTGTCTGCTTATAATTTCTTTAAAGCATTTCTGAATAAGAACATTGCTTTTGAAAAAAGTCTGAAAATGTGGGGTTAAGCTTATATTTGAGGACTAAACAATTGTGCTTTTACAACATCAGATGTTGTTTTTGAAGAGAGAGAACACCAGCGTAACACTTGGATACTAAGAGTGTTGCATCATGGGTTGTTTGTAGCTTTAATGTTGCTCTAAGTGTTGAAATTCATGACGACTGAAAATGACTTCATAGCATCTCCAGACATCTTCACTGCAGCAACGAAACAGTGAGAAGCGAATTCAAACAGCCAAGAAACATGGCTGTCACAGATGATGATTTCAAAAAGACAGTCTGAAAAGTGGTAACTGTCAGAGAAAGCGGTTCTGAGCTTTAAGAGCCTGTCAGGAGAGACAATCAGTCTGTGACTGATGGACACGACACACAAATGAGGCTTTTACATGTATCAAATGTCATGTTTAACTTATAGGAATAATAAAAAGGCTTCAAGGATGAGGACTCTCTTAGACTAATGGTATCTCGGGGGAACATTTTCTGGCCAGATGAGTCTTTCCTTTCCTCAGAAAGTATTTTTCTCAAAAACACATGTTAGAAGAGTTGGGGTCAACTCATAACCAGTTGATCTTTTATTTAGGCCAGTAAGTTGACTTAGAATTGGTTTAGTGCA